AGCAAATACATTGTATGCTGACTTGGTGCCAAGAAGTGCACTAGATAACTGCGGATACAGTGGCGAACTCAGCTCTCAAGGAGCTTCCTGAGCCATTGCCTGAGCTGCTGGCTTAAGGAATGGGGAGTGGGGATGGGGGTCCAGGGAGTAGGGAGCTAGAGAGCAGACCAGAGGTCTCCGGGCAGTGGAAAACAATAATGGTGAAAGCTTTTAAAAGCCCCACAGTAAGGAGTTCTGACTACTCAGAAGGCAGTAGAGGACGTATTTGAGCTAGGAAGTGAAGTCATCAGATCTGATTTCTGCAAAGATGACTCTGATGGAGGTGTAGAGGATGAATAGTGGGGACAAGGCGGGAACCCAGGAAACCAAACCATCGTAGAGATCTCCTCGAGAGATGACCATGGTGGCCTGAAGGGCGTTTTCCGTGAAATGGAAAGAAAGAGACTGATTGAAGAGATATTTGGGGTGAAGGAAAGAAGGACCTGGTAATTGATTAGGTGCAGAGAAAAAGGAAGAGAGGAGTCAAGGATGACCCTCAGGTCTCTACTTTGAGAGACTGGACGGGTGGATGATGGACCATTCATCGAAATAGGAAATAACAGAAGAAAACAGCGTGTTTAGAGGAGATTCAATATGCTGTGTTTTAGATCCACTAAGTTGTTGCTGCCCGTGTAATATCCAGATGGAAATATCTAGAAGGCAGTTTGTGGATTTGAAGTGCAGAAGAATGATCAGCCTGAAGACATATGTGAACATAGAGACACACACACAAAAAAAAGAAAACAAGAAGAGTCAGAAAGCCAAACATGATTCCAATTCAGTAATAAATGAATTTCATGCGTATCACAGAATGGTGACTTTAAGAAGTAATGAAAGGTATACCTATACCCTTTGAAAATTCTGAAGGCTACAGATAAATTATTCTATCAGAATTTCTATCTGTACCTCTAATTTGGAATGGGGGAGAGGGCCTTCCAAATACTGTGGGGAAGGGTGGTGGACATTAATTATCTTTTGAGTAAAAAAGGAAAATTCATTGAAAGGAAATTCATGACTTTTTATCCAGTCAGTAAACCAAGGTTTTGAAAAACAGGTTCAGGTATCCATAGCTACTTAAAAGGAGCAAGTGAGTTTTGACAAGCAGATCAAAGCCAGCATAGGAGTAACCTAGGAGAAGACCTGGAGTCAGAAGTTTTAATAATCTGGCAAAATATGCATTGTGTAAATTTGCCAGAAACAATGTCAGGAATGATCAGAAGATCCAAGGAAATCGAGCAGGGTAGAAACATTAAAGCAAGACCGGAGGCTTGCAAGCTATGACCTCTGGGGCAAAGGCTGTTTTTGTAAATAAAGTTTTATTGGAACACACCTATTCATTTCCATAATGTCTACGGCTGCTTTAGCTCTATAAAGGTGGAGTCGAAAGGTACGACAGAGACTGCATGGCCCACAAAGCCTAAATTATTTACTATCTGGCCCTTTGCAAAGTAAGTTTGCCAACCACTGTTACAGTCCAACGAAAGCCTAAGGTAAGATTAGAACATGTTTTAAAATGGTAACTAGAGCAATAATGTTCAGGATTCAGTGGACGGAAGCATAAACTAAATTCTCTGCTTTACTTCAGAGTACCACTTATATTGCAAAGAAAGAAAAGCTCTTAACTGATCATTGAAGTTATTATTCAGTGGGGTGTTGAGCATTTCTGATTTTTTTAGATTTTTTTTTATGATTAATTCTATTAGATACGGTGTCTATACCAATATAAATTTATACCAACTGAATATTCCTGGTACTAAAAGGAATCTCAATGATTTCGAGAAGCTACTCCACAAAGACAATTTTACTACGGTGTACATTTGGGCAAGCGGGTAATCAACTTAGCTGTAGTAGAAAGCCCTAGCTATATAAGTACAAAGATTGAAAAATGTTTTCTCAAGTTATAGGGAGCCAGATTCATAACCATCCGTCACTTGCTTGGGCAAGTTACTGATAAACTCTGCAGAAAAATAACAAACTGTGTGTCCCTGCATCTTGGCTGTTGAAAATGAGATTCTTTCTCTGATTGATGTTAGCAGAGAGGCTTGTAAAAATGCATTTCCAACTGATTAGTTCAGAAGGTGTCAATCTCATGCAGTTTTATGACCTGCAGACTACATGCCAGATGTACATTTGCTTTTTATAAACTAACAAAGATGAATGACTAAATTTGAGCATTCCTCTTCGGCAACTGTACCATATATTGCCTAAAGAAAGATACTGTAGTTGTAGTGTGGGGGGAGGAAAGGACGAAGGCATTTAACCTTTAATTGATAAGATTAATGAAGATAAAATATAATAATTGGAAGTACTTTCTCTAGTGAGTAGTTTCTATTTAGGTTAAAGAATGAGTGTAAGGGAAAAACCTGCCAGAATATAAAATATTTGTGTTAAATGATTCTCCCAAGCATCTGCTCACCCATTCAAAAGTCATGGAGTAAGAACTCTTAAATATATCATAAAACACGTAATTGAAGCTTCCTTATAGTCTCAGTATATAATCATGGGTTGTTACTGAAAGGGTTTTATTTTTTAATTGGTTTCTTTTGAGCCAGAAATGATATTGGAGCAATAGTTCAGTAGTCTACTACTTTAAAAATCCAAGTCTTAATAACTGCTTCTATTTCTTTGAGAAAGATAGAGAAAAAATATATACAATGTATTGCATTATTATAGCTTCGTGAAAAGTAAGCCTGTAGCGTAGTTTTATCTTCCAGAAATACAGAGAAATATTTAGACATTTTTCATCTTCATGGCCTTTTGGCTAAGAAAGTAGTAGTATTTTGATAAATCTATATAAAATTTCAAAGCTCAGTTTCATTTGATTTGCTTAAAACATTTAAAATTTTTATCAAAGGAATAAAACTACACTTTCAAATAATTAACACATTTTAAAAAATGTAACAGACATCTGCATACAAATGTAACTATTATAAAGGAAACAATATATATGAAGATCTGCCTGTCAGAAAGTCTGACTCATCATCATAACAAAAAATTAAAATATTAATGTAAAAAGGAGTCCAACACCATAAATTTAATCCACGTATTCACCTCTTAAGCTTGTTTTTTGACTACAAGGGAAATAGTGAAGAGATTTTTAGTTGCTGTCTCTAGATAAACTAAGTCTCTTTCGGTTTTAAGTGACAAAATCTAACTCAAACAGGCGTAAGGAAGAAGAGAATAGCCTGGCTCCTGCAACTGAAAAACCCAGGAGCTCAGGTGCAGGTTGTTGCAAAAACCCTAAAGATGCCACGATGACCTCTTGTTTTTCTCTCCAGCCCTTGGTTCTGCTTCTTGAATGCCGAGCTGCCAGACAGGTTCTCTTGTAGGAGCAGCAGGATCGAGGCAGCAACCCCAACCTCACAGCCTTACAGCTCCAAGTCTCAGGGGAAAGGGGAAGGGGAATCTCTGCAGACAGTTCCTGAAATTCACTTCAGATAGACAAGTTAGGTCAAATGGACACATCTGAACCAAACATGAAGGGGGAAATGCACACAGACAGACGGGGGGACGGATGGGTATATAAATGAAAGTGTAGAGCTGTTGCCCAAAGAAGAGGAAATGAGCGTTGGGAGAACTCACAAGTGTTCACTACATTCTGCTTCAGATGGGCAAAATGACTGAAGGACATTGATCCAGGACCCCTCGTCTCTTATTTCTGACCTTTCCTGTGTTGTCATTGACGTACTTTTAGACTGGACAACATAACTCAATTTAGTCTATTTTCTTGCATCTTGGTTTGCTGTCAGATAATGAAGGGGCAAACTTGTATTCTATTAATAAGAGTGGCCTAAAGCCAAAACATATGGCTAGTGTGGTTTGTTTTTGTTTTTTGTTTTTTTCCAAATAAAAGTTACTTAAAAAAGCCCTTGTGTAAATAAAATATGTAGGTCAACTAGATATTTTCAACTGAGTTTGCCATAATAGGGTCACACTAAGACTTGAGACTTCGGTGTGAGGATAACCATTTGTCCAATCTCTCAAGAATGATTTAAAGTCTTCAGAAACTAATGTTCTTGTTTATCTGTACTGAGAATGTCATTGCCAAGCAGATCAAAATTCATGTATCAGCTGGGCAGTGAAAGAATGATCTTAAGGGGTAACGTCACTAAATCATTATAACCTGACACTCTTGTCCACTAATGAGTTGGTTTATATGTTTCGAACAAAATATTTACATGGACCATGGAATGTGGTTTCCTTTTGATGTTCCTGGAGAAGGCACTAGCAAATTCTTTCTTTCCATTACACTCTTCACGTCACCAGCCTGTAGGTCAGTGGTTTTTTTTTTTTTTTTTTGTGGTAGGCTTCTAATCATTTCCAGTATTACGACTCACTTATATTTGCCACATTTTAATGTAACACCTCCATTTTAGCAGGGGCATACGAGGGGCTCAGGATCCTGTTTAACACTTGAGAGATGCCTTCATTTTATTTGGAACACACTTTACCTTCCTTGAGAAAGCTATTTCTTTGAAAAGTGGTTGGCTTATCTCATCCATTGTATGTTGATTGGTATTTGCTTCACTTCACGGACTTTTATTCTCTGACCCTGCCCCAAATTTTAGAACTTTACCCTATGTAGGTCCCGAACCATTGACCCATCGTTCTCACTATGTTAACTCCTAGTGCATTTTCTATAAAATAGAAAAGGCTTCAGCAATTATACTTAAAATGAATCTGTAGTCCTTCCTAGTCCTAATAGATTATTCTTATCAGCAGTGTTTTACTCCTGACTCAGAATCAGCCATCTCCAATCCAAACATTTATTCTGTGTGAAAGAGGCTGTAAGTCTTGTATTAATATTTTATCTGTTTCCAAAAAGTGTGCCTTGTAGAAATTACCTCAGATGGGGGAAAGATTCACTGGATCTGAAAGAAAACGAACCAACAAACAAAACGCGTCTCAGGTCACCATGTAACAAGAGGAATTCTCTTACTGGCTTGCACTTCTCTCTGCAGATGGGCTCGTTGACTGTATGGATCCTGATTGCTGTTTACAGAGCTCCTGCCAAAGCCAGGCTTACTGCCGAGGCCTGCCTGATCCTCAGGACGTCATCAGCCAAAGCTTACAGTCACCCTCGCAGCAAGCTGCCAAATCCTTCTATGATCGAATCAGTTTTCTTATAGGGTCTGAGAGCACTCATGTCATACCTGGAGAAAGTCCTTTCAACAAGAGGTTAATGCATTTTCTCCTTACATAGATTTGTAGTGATGTTATTATCAATAGTTCCATGCACTTTTCGATGAAATGCTGATGACTGTGAATTTGAAGAAAGAGCTTTTTCTTTTAATGCAGTTGTTTCTCTTTCGGCAAATTCCTCACCAAACTTCGCATTTCAAGCATTTTTGACACAGTTCACGTGCTTTGTCAATTTCAGTACCTGAGCCGGAATAGGACATCCCGTTAAGGAGTCAATAAATCTTCATTTAACTCGTTGATTTTGTTAGCGCAGTTGGAAATGTTTCAAAAGAAGCAGTGAAAAGACCCCAAAAGGCAAAACAGAAGTGAGCTTTTTTTTTCAGCTGAGCTCGCTAAATAATATAAATTATGAATTAATGTAATAGAACTGCTAACGGCATGGCAATAAGATTGCATAAGCTGTTTGACTGGTGCTTTACAGAGCAGTAATGACCTGAAAATAAACCAGTAAGTGAAAGCAGGTGTCTCGTGTCTTACTGAGTAAAAGAAGATGATTTACACTAGAACTCCTGGATCTGCAGTAATTTAACAGCATTAATGCTGTTAGACCCAGCAGTTGATTAAAAGTTGTTGCACAAATGTGCCTTATTGCCCCTTTAAATCTTGTACTTCTTGGTCCCTGCAGATTTACGGATTGCCTCGGAATTAATTGGAAGGTATACCTTCCTTCATGTAAGCACCAGATATACGACTTATGAAAAAGCACAGTTTATAATTTTAAAAAAACCCATCTCTAAATTATGGGTCTTGATAACTCTCCAAAACCCAGATTGCAACAAAGTAAAACCCAGGGTAAACACCAGGCATTTAGAGAACGTGAATTGCCCTGAATTAAAAGGGAGCATTGTCTTGGGACTCTTTCAGGTCTGGTTTTTGTGAAGAACAAGTATGTGTGACAGTGTTATTTTATCCTTAGGTTGAATTATCTCTAAATCATGATAATGTTGACCTGAGAAGACAGATGTTCATTTTAATTCTTCTACTTTTCCCACAGCCTTGCATCCGTCATTAGAGGCCAAGTACTAACTGCTGACGGAACTCCACTTATTGGAGTAAATGTGTCGTTTTTCCATTACCCAGAATATGGATATACTATTACCCGCCAGGATGGAATGTGAGTCAGTCCCACCACACTCTCTCTGTGTGAAATATTTTCAGTATAAAAACTAGGCATTCTTATAGCTCCCAATATGTTTTATTGTCCCTTTTCATATAGAACTGCAACAACTTTTAGGCTCCAGAAATCTGTGCATGTGGCAGAGTTAAAGTCACGTGCTCATGTGGTTCCTTAAAAGTTGATTTCATTTGCCAAGACATGGTAACAGTGTTGTGGTTTCGTAGGAGAATTTTCTTTGTTTTAGAAGATTCGTGTTGAAATATTTAGGAGTGACATTCCATAACACCTAAAACTTAAGCTTAGATGGTTCTGAAAAAATAAGAAGATGGGTAGATAGATAAAGCAAATTTGGGAAGATGTTAATGAGTTGGTGAATCTAATTAAAGGTATCTGGGTGTTCATTGAATGGTTATTTTAATATTCCTGTAGATTTGAAACTCTGTCATATACAAGTTGGGAGAAAAGTTGGTTTTCTTTGTAAAGCATATTTATTTAAGGAACTGAGTGTTGTTGGAAGCTGTATGGGATCCAGATAATTCACTAAGTAATCTTGTTTTTTCTTAGGTTTGATTTGGTGGCAAATGGCGGGGCGTCTCTTACTTTGGTATTTGAACGCTCCCCATTCCTCACTCAGTATCATACCGTGTGGATTCCGTGGAATGTCTTTTATGTGATGGATACCCTCGTCATGAAGAAGGAAGAGAATGACATTCCCAGCTGTGATCTGAGTGGATTTGTGAGGCCAAATCCCATCATCGTGTCTTCTCCTTTATCTACCTTTTTCAGATCTTCTCCTGAAGACAGCCCCATTATTCCCGAAACACAGGTAGAATGTTCTGGCAGGCAGTACTTTTAAGGAACCTGTTTTCGGATCATGTGGTTTCCAAAGAATCTTTAAAAAGGATTGCAGAGTTCCAGTGCTATCCCAAATAATTCTATAGATGGAAACACAGAATGTGGGGTGTGTACGTGTGTGCGTGCCTGTGCAAGAATAGGTAATACTGTGGTAGGATTATTTAAGAAATAATCTAGTTATTTCTTAAAGATCTATTCAAAATACTTTTTTGTTCAAGCTGTACTATATCTGTATATATTTATTAGTTGTAACCAAATGGAAAAAACAGCTTAAACTCAACAGCTAATAACGTCTTTGTTCATGTACTCATTCACTAGAAAAAGGCTTTGATACTTATATGCTCCTGACCTCCTGACTGATGTGGGAACAAGTGCTATTATATGTGGTCATTACTCTCAGTGACTTACTGTTTAGTTATACTTATAAGTAAAAAGTGTTTCAGAAAAGATGATTTTTAGCAGCAAATGTTCATTAATTTACTCAAGATATTTTTATCTAAAAAACTTGGTATTATGTCTTAAGTTCTAATAATTTGTGGTAAATCCTGTTCTCCTCAGGGGGGAAAATACTATATAACTTTTCTAAAAATAGCCATACTTTCACTATTCCTTTTATCTGCTATCTGGAGAAATATATGGAGATTGTTTTCCTTCCTCTTTATTTCCAATTAGAAAGAACTTGGAGAAAAAAAAAGAAAGAACTTTGAGGTCTTGAAGATAGGACATTAGGTACAATAATAATAGACTATTCATAAATAGCTAAGTAAAACTATGTGGTCTTTATTTTTTTTAAAGTTTTTTTTATTTATGAGAGAGAGAGAGTGGAGGGGGAGGGGCAGAAGGAGAGCGGGAATCTTTTTTTTTTTTTAAAGATCTTATTTATTTATTCGAGAGAGAGAGAATGAGAGATAGAGAGCACGAGAGGGAAGAGGGTCAGAGGGAGAAGCAGACTCCCCGCCAAGCAGGGAGCCCGATGTGGGACTCGATCCCGGGACTCCAGGATCATGACCTGAGCCGAAGGCAGTCGCTTAACCAACTGAGCCACCCAGGTGCCCGGAGAGTGGGAATCTTAAGCAGACTCCCTGCTGAGCACAGAGCTGGACACAGGGCTCCATCCCACGACCCCGAGATCATGATGTGAGCTGAATTCAAGAGTAGGTCGCTTCACCAACTGAGCCACCCAGGCGCCCCAAAAATATGCAGTCTTTAAAATACAGCAGCACATAGCAGCTTTGTCCCATTCACTCTTCAAATATTTATTTGATATCAGGTGCTGTTAGAATTGAGCGAAGCAGTAAGCCAATCAGATGAAGTACCTGTTCTCAAGGAGCTTCCCAGCTAATGGGGAGAGAGACAACAAATGTGTAAATATATGTCAGCTTGTGAATACGACTTATTTTTCAAAGATAAAACAGGGTCAATTGACAGAGGTACAGTTTTGTAAAGTGTGGCCCAGGGAGATCTCTTTGATAAGTTGATGTTTCAGCAGAAACTTTAAGAAAGTGAAAGAATAAATCCGAAAATAGAAGGGTATTCCAGTTAGCACTAGGAGCAAGTTCAGAAGCTCAGAGGGAAGAGCATGCTTGGCTTGTTCACAGAACGGCACAGAGGCCAGCAGGTGTGGCTTGAGTGAAGGGGTGACAAACCACAAATCATTGAAGACAGTGGCCTTCTTTTTTTCTTTAAGATTTTATTTGAGAGAGAGAGATCGGGGTGGAGGGGGCAGAGGAGAGGGAGAGAATCTCAGGCAGAGATTCTCACTCCGAGCTGAGTGTGGAGCCCAATGCAGGGCTCGATCCCACAACCCCGAGATCATGACCTGAGCTGAAACCAAGAGTTGGACGCTTAACTGAGCCACCCAGGCGCCCCTACTGGTTTCCTTCTTAAAAGGATCACTGTAGTTGCCACACTAAGAATATTTCCATACTGGGCAGAGTTTTGAAACGAGGAGACCAGGTAGGAGACAATCTCCGTAATAGGAAAAATAGTGGTGGCGTGGACAAAGGGAGTTGGGGAGGAAGGGGTAAGAAGTGGATGTCCAGGGCAGAGGTTGGAAGTAAAACGGAAACTTGGGGGTCATCAGTGATACAGCTAAATATAAAGCGTAGGATGAGATACCCTAGGGAGGGAGTACAGATGGAGAGCAAAGTCTAGGATAACAGGTAAGAACTGTCACGGGCAAATTCAATGCACAAGAGACACCTCAATGATTTACTGCATAACAGTCAAGCCAGCTTTGAGCTGAAGCTTTTGCAAAGTCATTGTAGCCCTTATGCAATGTAGTACTTCCTCCCCAGGGGCCATCTTGCGGTAACTCTGAACTTCTTAGCCACTCCTTAAATAGATTTAATCTTGAGGCTGTGTCTGTCTGTCTGTAGGTGGCAAATTGTTAGCAAACTGAGTCATTGAAATGGGTTTCAGATAGTCAACAGTTGCAGGAATACATGAAGGGTTTTTTTTTTTTTTTTCCATTCCATCAGTCTGCAAACATTTAGTAGAAATTTACTGAGAACCGATTATGTATGAGGTACTCTAGTAGGATAAAAAAAATAATAAGACGTGGATTCCCACCATTCTAAATGTGGTCAAGATGTGAAGGAAGAACTCTGAAAGTTCAAAAGAGTGGTCTATTCCTAAGGAAGCCCAAAAAAAGCATCACTGAGGAGGTTGGCCTTCGAAGCGGGGAAAGGATATTCCAGATTGAAGAAAATGTGTGAGCAACCACAGGGTGGTAAAAACAAATTATGTCATAGTAAAACTGGTGAACTACTGAAGTGTAGGGCATATAAGAGGAAAGGTTGGGGCTAGATTATGAGTGGACCCAAAATACCGTACAATGGAGACCTTGGATTCTCTAGGCAATATGGAACCAGGGGGCCAATGGCGTCTTTTCAGATTTCTCTAAAGCTAACTCGAGGCAAAGTGTGTAACTGATAGAAGAAGACAGATAAATCAGTGGACTGACTAGTGTTCGCTACATTTCTGTACATATCCAGCACTGAGAAGGGGAGGGCCCAACACTCACAACGGTGGTGGAGGTGGAGAAGAGAGAACAGATTAGACCTAGACCTGGAAGGTAGAATTGACAGGATATAGTTTCTTTTTTTTTTAAATGATGATAGGTAATTTTATTTATTATAAAATAAAATACTTACCAAATTATTATAAAACAGAACAAAAACAATAACAAAATTTTAAAAAGTAAGTCTTTTATTACATTTTTTTATTTTAATTGTAGTTTCTCACTGAATGTTTAATGGGGTGAAGAATGGGGCTTACAGATCACACAGTTGGCAAAAAGTAGACTTGATGGTTTATTTTTCCACTCTGGCTGAGTGTCCGTTTCCCACTAATGCAAAATACCGTGGTCACGTCAAATTACAAAGGAGAAACACGTGTTTCAATGAACTAAACTCAGATAGTTGTTCCATGGAAATAGGTTTATGATGACAAAGACAAGAATCTGTTATTAAAATTGGGAATAACATACGGTATTTTGAATTAGAGAAGCAGCTCATACCAGATCACAGGAAATATATATTTAATTAATGAAAGACTGCCTTACATATAGAAAACCTATCAGATTTATGAGAAATTATTTTGAAAATAAATTATGAGGAAACAAATTATATGCCTTAGGGTTCAATCACTTAACATTTTCAGAGAGCCATTCAAGAGTCACAGAATCCATTTTTCAAGCCAACCCACTGATACTTCACCCCAGTGATGGCAGAACAATGAGTCCTGTTTAGATTATTCACCCTGTAGCCTACAGCCACACAAAAGTGCTGTCAATCTTCAATGTAATGTTCTCCGTGAGTCAAACAGAGCTCTGGAAAGTTTTTGTATGGCCATAAACTATTTTGCTTCAGAGAGTGTGCAGCTGAAGTCAGTGCGCATGTTCAGTAAAGAAACCCCCCCCATTGTGCTGAATAGGTGCTATGAGAGCAGAGCAGTGCCTTCGTAGTCCACGGTATTACATCCCATTGCTCTTGATGCCAGCACTGGCCCCCGATCACCATGGAGGTTTACTCAGCCCATCCTTTGGCGCTCCTCACCTATACTCACACTGACCACTACAAATATGCATCGATCCCAACTTCTCTGTGCAAGAGGAGCTGGATCCTACTGACCACTGGGTCGCTATGCTAAGATTTTTCTAACACAGTCTGAATAATGAATCTCGATAAGCCAATATGAGGAAATCTTGGAGAATGTTATTTAATTCTTAGTGGACAAAATGGTGACTTCCTGGTGCAGATTCTTGAGCCTAGATGGCCTTGCACTTCACAATATATGTATTGTAGTGGGCCTCTGGAGAGCTACCATTGTTAACCAGAGAAATAGGAGCTTAGCAGTAGTCCTTAGCACCTGCGCCATCTGGAAAGATGTTACACGCTACATAAAATCTAGTTTTCAAAATAAATAATGTTTGGCATAATATGCTTTGGCATATGTCAGTATAAATTTGTTGATGTTCACTGAGCCAGCCACATTGATGGATAAATTGTGGGGTTAAGAATATGATTTTTTAAAATCTATAAAGGAGATCATTCTTAGGCAGGGAATTATTTCAACTTTTCACAGTCCAGTTTCAACTCAAAAAGTGTACATTGAGGGTCTTGCATGTACGTTCAATAACACATTAGTTGCTCTCTCAGGGAGAATTTATGCAGCTCTCAGTCCAGCTACTCTCTTAGTCCAGCTACCATCATATCAAAAATCAGTGGTGAGTCCTCGCTCAACGTTTAACTAATTATGAGAATATGCTGTTGTTCTATTACCTTTCAACATGGATATAGAATTCACTACAATTTAACTCAAACGAATTGGGTCTTTTCTGTTACTGCTCCTGTCTTTCTAGGCTGTGACCAGTCAGCTGCTGAGGCCGTAGGCACAGGATTAATCCCTAAATGAGCCAGCTGGCGTAGGCCAGATCTTTGGCCCAGACCACATCCCTGCTCTGAGCTAACCATCTTACAGATGTCGGCTCTGATTCTCCAGGGTGACGGGGTGAAGGATTGGGTTAGTGAGAATCCGCTGTGACCATGAGCTAACAAGTCAGTGCATGTCAGTGCTGTGTCCTGTATGAGGAGTAGCACCTACTCCGAATGAATGACAGGAAGCTTTTAGCAGGAGAAAAATTGGGCTGGTGGCAGAGTTACTTTTAATTATCGAATAAAGTAACAAGCTCAGATGTGTATTTGTGAATAGTGACTCTTTGGTGTCTTATTTTAGTTGCTCTCCTCGCTTCTTTTAAATCTGCTTTACCTAATAGTTACCTGTGATCCCAGTTTGAAGCTTCTGCTTTGTGCAAACCTAGGTACTCCATGAAGAAACGACAATTCCAGGAACAGATTTGAAACTTTCCTACTTGAGCTCCAGAGCGGCGGGATATAAGTCAGTTCTCAAGATCACCATGACCCAGTCCGTTATACCATTTAATTTAATGAAGGTTCACCTTATGGTGGCTGTGGTAGGAAGACTCTTTCAGAAGTGGTTTCCCGCCTCGCCAAACCTGGCCTATACTTTTATATGGGATAAAACAGACGCCTATAATCAAAAGGTCTATGGTCTATCGGAAGCTGTTGGTAAGTTCCATATCGATATATTCTGTGTCAAAAACTATCACGAAGTTGATTGTCACCCATGGGCATCGATGGATAAACAAATTGGAAGACAAAAACATTATCCTTGGGGAGTAATAGGCTGGTTGACTGAGACCTACCGTGGGAAAAGGGAATGTATTCCATATGATGAGGAGAAAGTGTCCCTTCTTTTCTGGCTGAAATTCTGTCTTCGAAAATGTTCTGAATGAGATTCCAAGTTGTCCTAGCCTTTCCTTCATATTCTTTTTCCTTACTGTTCTCCTTCCTTTTTTCACTTTTTGTTTCTTTCTAACTTTATCTCCTTAGCTTTCTTTATCCTTTATGTTTTCTGTATCTAACTATAAGGGTAGTTTCAACTCATAATGATATTTAAAAGGATATAGACAATATTTGTGCCCCAAAATTATTTCAGCTCTTTTGACTAGGAGTCAATTCAGTGGAATGCCATTCTTAAAACATCAGTTAAGCCCATTGTTTCACTGAATGTTGGGACAATGCAATCAAAGATTGGCATGTTGAGATATATATGGTATAGCTTCATGCTCAGGCTGAGGAGAGCCAAAACTAATGGATGCTTTTTGTTCCATTAGTTTTTACCTGAGACTATCATAGATATTTCATTCTGAAATTAATATATAACTTGGGCTTGAATTAGTTCACGTCAATCAGATAATTGCCACTTCTCCCTTCACTTTGCTCTAAATTTTAAAACCCATGTTTCTTATAACTCTGAAGCTTTTCATTGGTGATTTGTTCACAGTAATTTACTGCTAGTGTTATCATTCAGTCCTGATAATAACATGTGAATATAATGTCATAATCAGGCTGTCTTCTGTGCTGTGTTGAACCTTACTTATCATAAACGTTTTGCACAACTTTTAATACTCTTGGAAACTAGACAGCTCTAATTACTCAGATACCACATATTATTTTTAGTTGTTACCATCTGATCACCACCTGGGGCTGATTTATCTGATCTAATTACTTAACCAGTTGCCCAATCTCGTCTTCATTTTGTGCTGTGAACCCTTGTGAAAAAGTGGTGTGAGGGGAAAAAAATACTAGTTTCCTATCAAATCAATAGAAAAATAATATTTGAAGATCGTTTCTTAGAAAAACACCTTTTATGTGGTCAGATCTTCTCATATAAAAATAATTTCTACACATAAATGAGTGGAAATCGTGTCTTAGAATCTTCAATTGTGGGAAAAAAGCAGTTTTATCAAAATAATAAATTGCATTTCTGCCTGTAATTGAGAAGATGTACTGTGATTTGTCTTGATTCCAGTGTCGGTTGGATACGAATACGAGTCATGTCTGGACCTGACTCTGTGGGAAAAGAGGACTGCCATTTTGCAAGGTTATGAATTAGACGCTTCCAACATGGGTGGTTGGACATTGGATAAACATCATGTGTTGGATGTTCAGAATGGTAAGATCTTGTTCGTAGTTAATATCACTTACCTTGATTAGATTATGGCAACATTTTTATCCTATGCATGCTGTAGGATTAGAATTAGTAGAAAAAATAAAGATATATTTTTTTAATTTTTTATTGTTATGTTAATCACCATATATTACATCATTAGTTTTTGGTGCAGAGTTCCATGATTCATTGTTTGTTCATAACACCCAGTGCTCCATGCAGAACGTGCCCTCCTCAATACCCATCACCAGGTTAACCCATCCCCCTCCCCCCCTCCCCTCTAGAACCCTCAGTTTGTTTTTCAGAGTCCATCATCTCTCATGGTTCGTCTCCCCCTCTGACATACTCCCCTTTTCTTCCTCTCCTGTTATCTTCTTCTTTTTCTTTTTTCTTAAAATATGTTGCGTTATTTGTTTCAGAAGTACAGATCTGTGATTCAACAGTCTTGCACAAGATATATTTTTAAAGACTATACATGTCTGAAGTGGGAACTACCTAATATTCTTCTTGTGGACTTTGAATCATTCATAAATTCATCACCAAAATAGGTCTCCCATTTGAATGTAAGAGACTTTGGTGCTGCATTGAAAGTACTCTATGTGGTAGTCTTCACGACAGATTCATCTAGAAGTATCTAATTCTATAGTAAGCCCATGAGTGGATCCAGAGTGCTTTAAGGAGGCTTACCAAAAATGGAGGGAGGGGACTTTTTTAAATAAAGAAAAAAAATCCATGTGACTTTACCAAAATATTTCTGATAAATCTTAACTCTTAAGTAATTAGCCTATTCTGAGCATGTAGTGTTTTTTTTTTTTTTTCAGTTCTTAGATTGTATGTGAGAAAAAAATTGTTCTGCTCAAATTGGGTTCCATATGCTCTTATTTAACTTTGTAATTCTTAGGAAAAAATAAAGGAATAATCTGAGAAGAAAGCAAGGATTGAGAGTTATTACTTAGAGTAAACCTTATACTATAAAGGAATATGGTCTGAAAACACATATTTCAGATAACACGAAAGACATAAATTATTTTACAAAACTTGACCAGCTTAATCTCATAAAGGATATTATTTATATTAAACAAACTCTGTCGTCCTTACTGTGTGTCTGACATTTTTGCCCACATGCTGGCTACACCTCAGATAATTTATAGGTACTTTTCTAGAAAAGCGGAACCTTAAGGTGACTTCCTCTAGCCCCCCATCCTAAACCATATCATGCTGGTAACTCTCTACTCTCCCTTTCCAAATAGCCAAAGGAGATTTCACAGTCGTGGCAAATCATCTAGCTTTGACTTCGCAAAGGTTTTTGGAAGAATCAGAATTTTGAATTGAGCATGTAATACAACTAAATGTTTGAGTAATGGTCACTGTTTCAGATTAATGTTACTTTGATATTTGTTCTTTTTATTAAAAAAAATTTGTTGTGGAGGCTGGAAAGGGTGCATTTTCAACTTCCAAATGTAATAAGTCTACAGTAGTGTCCAAGCCCGTGCTCTAGAGTGCTGGTGTCTTACCTCTAGAAGAAAATAGTACTGAGCAAATCAATATAGGAAAAACAAAACGGAAAAACCCTCCACCCTTTTCCTACCTTACAGCGGTGCTGAGCTCTGCCCCTGGTCCAGCTGTGTCCTGGACATCCAGTTGCCATTCAGTGAGCATGCCAGAAGGTTGGGAGCAAAGCCCATAGCTAGTGCCACGTGCAGCTCATACTTTGGAAAAGTGAGACTCCCAACCAAGAAGGATGTTCCGTATGTTATCCCTAATCATCAGCGGTGCCTGAAGCCGTGGTATTTCAGTCTGTCATGTCAACAACACCAGGGGTAGTCGTGGGCTTTCAAAATGCAAAGCCACGTGCCAAATGTGCCCCTCCCTGGCTGCTCTTGATTAAATGATGTGAAATTGTGTTTCACAGAGTTTGACATATTGCTGGATTCCTTCGGAAGCTCTTGATAAACAAAACCAGGGGAACCTCTCTAGAAGCATTTTAGTTATCATGGGCATATAGGGTCAAGTTCGTAGCCCCAGGATTTCACCAGGTGATTATGAACTGGTAGGGGGTCAACAAGCAGAGAGCTCAGGAAGGCCCATGCCATAAACCCATATCATAACAGTGTTAAATTACACTGTAACGGTACCCAAAACTGAGTACAGAATTCAGGTGGATTTGAGAAACATGTAGATATTCTGTGTATGTATATGTAATAGAAATACACACACAGACACACTGTCTACCAGAATAATATATAGTCTGCTTTTATTAAAATATCAGGTCAGCTGTAGAAACTGGGCTACCCCAAGTTCTGTCCTCGAAAAACTGCTATAAATTATAAACTCTGTGTTGTTTTAAAATGTGAGGTAACCTAATTCACAGGGTAAACTGATTGTGATTTCAAATTTTACCCAAGAACCACTTGACAAGTAGCGGCTTCTCAAAGTGACACGTATCTAATTGAATAAACAAAGTGATTTGTAATCGTGACAAGGTGGATGAGCTGTGAAATGTAGTAAAGAGGAAGAGAAGGCCAAAATGGAGACAGTGACAGGTGTTTGCAGGCCTGGGACGTGGAAATAAATATTCTAATGTTCATCTTTGTCTTCTGTCAGAATAGAGGAGAATCATGAAGGACCAATCCCTTAAAAGAATGGCTGAAAAAATCAGGCTGAGCAGAGCAGTAGGTTGGCTTGTAGGGTTAGCTCTTACAGGAAAATATAGTTCCATAATTGTCAAATAACATAAGCACAGAAAGAAGGTTCTTAGGTCTCATTAATGTATTCTTTGAATATTCAAGGTAAAAGGCTTTTCATGTGTTACGATCCAGCCTTATTTGGCTTATTTTCCCTTAAATTTGAATAAACCTGTTTTATCTCCCCTGGTTTCTTTATGTAAATTTTCTGTGATTATTACATCACTTGAAAAGCATTTAAAAAGTAATCCATAGACTCCACCTAAAAATGTGCTGCGCTATAAGGGGAACATAATCATTCTGATCTCTTCTTCACTTTAAAATTATCCCAAAGTGGGAGGAAGAAAGCTCATTTTTCGGTTTCCTGTTTGCTCTTTCATGGATTGATTCTTTTAACAGCATAGCTGCTAAAAAGTATAAGCATTGGCTTGAAGAACTGCTTTGAAATAGAGAACATTCAATAAATACATAATACGTACAACTCCAAAGTCCAAGGAGCAGATGGTTTATACAGATAATCGCCCTCTGCGAAGTGTCATGAAATATGTATGGTAGAGTAAACAGCTGACCAGCCAGGGTACCTCAGGCCATAATGAAACCATTGATCTGCTGTCTATATAATAATGGCAAATGAATAAAATTAGAATCGCAACTCAAATCTAGTTTCTAGAACTATGAGAATGTTTTAATACTCATTTGGGATTTTTTTTTCCCTCAGATTTTCATTGAGGACCCAATGGAGCAGACTGGCATTGTGTCTTAAAATGATTGGCACTTTCATGCCATAAAGCAGAATTCTCCTTAAATAATAAGTTTGCCCTTCCATAACAGTTTTGTTATGTTTGGAATTTTGAATAACCGCATGTGTATGCATCCTCATGTCAGATAAGAGTCTAAGCAAGAAGAATGTTCTTTGACAGCATAGTAGTATAGAGGGGCATTGATATTTATTTTTCTAACTTCATTTTCCACAAAGTACTTTTAACATTTTCAAAATCAGTGCTAGACTCATAAGGAAGAAATTCATATTTGTGGTGCACATTTTTATTGATTGGATTAATATATAATATTATAACATCATTTCGCAATTAGGCAAACTTGTTATTCCCTGAAGAACATGTAAGAGCATGGTTCTCAAACTTGGTTGTACATTAGGGTCATTGGGAGGTTTGGGGATTTTGTTAAAGATTTTGTTTATTTATTTGACACACAGAGAGAGAGAGAGAGAGAGAGAGAGAGAGAGCACAAGCAGGGGGAGGGGCAAGAGGGCAAGGGAGAAGCAGCCTCCCCGCTGAGTAGGGAGCCTGACGTGGGACTTGATCCCAGGACTCTGGGATCATGACCTGAGCCGAAGGCAGACCCTTAACTGACTGAGCCATCCAGGCGCCCTATCTGGAGGGTTTTTTAAAAGACTGCCCCCAGACCAATTAAATCAGATTCTCTCAGGATGAGATCCAAGCACTGGTATCTTTTACAGTTCCCCAGTCATTCCGATGATGTATAGCCAAGTTGGAGAACTGTCAATGTTGACAATTGGGCTTTTAATTTTTCTGGTTAGTCCTTTGTTTCTTTCACCAGCCCTCCCTTACATTCATAACAGACAGCATTTTTCATATATATCCTTTATATTTTGCCAAATAATATTTTGCACCAGATAAATGAATAGAGTCTTGTTCTTTCCAAGAGAACTTGAAATAGTGTTCCCAGGCGGTATCTACAAAGCACTGAATTATAGTTACATCTAGAGTGAACATGTTTACTTTTCATCTTTCTACTTTTTATCACAAGAAAATTCTTATGCATTTTATGTCTTCTAGGTATACTGTACAAGGGAAATGGGGAAAACCAGTTCATCTCCCAACAGCCTCCGGTTGTCAGTAGCATCATGGGAAATGGCCGAAGGCGCAGCATCTCATGCCCGAGTTGCAACGGTCAGGCCGATGGTAATAAACTGTTGGCTCCAGTTGCATTAGCTTGCGGGATCGATGGCAGCCTATATGTAGGGGATTTCAACTATGTTCGGCGAATATTCCCATCTGGAAACGTAACAAGTGTTTTAGAATTAAGGTATGTCTTTCCTTAGTTTGGATTTGGGGGTTTTTTTTGTTTTTTTTTTTTAAGATTTTATTTTTAAGTAATCTCTGCACCCAACATGGGGCTCGAACTTTCTAACCCGGAGATCAAGAGTTGCATGCTCTACCAACTGAGCCAGCCAGGCACCTGCTTAATTTGGGATTTTTACCAAAGCTAAGCATGCCTTTATAAGGAAAAGTGTTTAGTCTAATGGACCAATTTATTTATTTAAGTATACCTTCCCAATGTTTAAAATTTGCCCTGAAAAGAAGTTAGATTCTTGGTTAAAGTTGGGAAAAGCACAATACATATATACTGTGCCATAAATGTATAAATGTATAAAAGAGTATAAAGTCACCCAACATATAAAATGTCTCACTGATTTCAGGGCATTTTCTGTGCTTCAGTAGGATAGAACTATGATTTTTAAATCCCTTTAGTTGTTCTTTAGAATAACTTCTTGATACAGGTTGTTACTCTTTTATTTCACATTAGTTGAAATTAAGAGAGAAAATATTTCCCTACATTATCAGGACATAATAGTAAGGCTATAATTTTTCCATTAGAATACTGGATCTTCAAGTTGGGTTAACCCATTAGCCATAATACCAATAGTTAAAGTAACAAATTGTTGCTTTGCTTTTGTTCATTTAAGTGTGATTATTAAAATCATCCTATTCTGTAAATTATTTGATAAACCTTGGCCTACAAAATTCATGTCCGGTGTTATTTCTGCTTAAGTTGGCAATTTTCCATTCAAATAATTAAAATCTCAGTATGCAACTCATTATATTTTAGAAACTTTTTCTAACTGTGCTTTTTTTTCCCCACCTTTTTTATCTGCTTCCACCAAGAAATAAAGATTTTAGACATAGGTAAGCATCTTGCTGAAAGGTTACTGTATATTTTCAAATGTCCTTTTTACATTTTGATGTGACTCTCTGACATTGTTTTCTAAGAACATTACACATCATGAGAGAGGAAACTCAGTATCACAGAATATCTAAGGAATTAAAACTGCTATATGAACCATTATTATATAGCATATTGCATATTATGCAATATAATCTGAAAAGCTATTTTCAAGTTGGTTAATAAAATAAATTTTGTCACAAAAAATACTATAATGAACATGTCCGTAGAACAAAAAATATTTCTAAACTTCAGTTACTGGCTTACATAATCTAAGCCATATTGAACAGAACCAAATTTGAAGCAGAGTAGGAGAGTTTAGGACACATTTAATTTGACCAATAATCAGGGCAGATCCTGGCTTATTCAACTGGGGGATTCTGTTTAAGAAAAAGAATCTAAAAAATATTTTACTTTGGCAAGTTTTTAAAAACCTAAGATCATGTGATCATGTTTCCGAGGACCTCACTGGGCTTGCAAGGAACCATACAAAGGAACCCTAATGCTTAGGCCTTGTTAACTTCCTGCTGTTGTTTATATTTTCCCAAGTTGAGAGAGTAACTACATTTGAGTACTACTTTTAAGAAGTAATGTTTTCATGGACAGTATTATGAAAGAAAATACTTTCTTCAAAGCTAAGGATGAACAGTTGAAGCAAATATGTAGGCTCAGAAGTTTTTCAGATTCTACTTGTGACGTATACTTAGCTAGTGAAGGTATAGTAAAAGCTTGTTATGGACACTTTTGACTGAAAAACTTTCCCCAGGGCAACAAAAAAGGAAAAAAAAAATATATATATATATATATATTTTTTTTTTTTTTTTTAAAGTAAAGCTCACCAAAAAGCTAGACATATTGGACCTGCTGGATCTAGTTTGGCCAGTAAAGTATCTAATGAAATGATATCAGATGGAAAAATTAGCAGTAGTTTATGTGACATCCTTGAGATGAATACATCAACATTGCCCACTGGAACTGTGTTGTAGAGATGGACAACTAGGAAATAAGAGACAAAGTTCCACGGGAAGATGAGTAGCTGTTGCATATCAGTATGACCAGGCATGGCCCCATGACCCTTCCCTGAGATCCCCTATTGATCTTGTGCTCTCAGCTAATAGCTCAGTCACGTGCTAAGATTAACTCTAAATTTCTCCAGACTGCTGAGCACACAGAGCTCTGCTATGAGAATCCATGGCAGGATATCAGTTTTCTGGCCTCACCTTCTTGGTAACTGTGGAGAAAAGAGGAAAGACAGACACGTGTGTCCACCATCTAAATGTGAAAATGCTGGAGGCAATAGATAAAGAAATATCAAAGCAGCTCCCTTTGAACAAACCAGCCTATTACGTGCCAGGCTCGGTGCCAGATATTCTATACACGTTACTGCAGAACCACACAACAGTCCTTCAGGATTACAGATGAGGTCATTGAGGTGCAAGGAAGCCTTGGGGAAGCCTTTTCTTCCCCAAGACACATAACTAAGAAATGGGGAGCAGGGATTTGAACCACTCTAAAAAGTGTGTTCATTGCACTATACCACACAGCCAGTTTTTAGGTATTTTTTTTTTTTAAAGATGTATTTACTTGACAGAGACGGAGAGCACAAGCCCGGGGAGCAGGAGAGGGAGAAGCAGACTCCCCGCTGAGCAGGGAGCCCAACATGGGGCTCAATCCCAGGACCCCAGGCTTGCTGCTGAAGGCAGATGCTCAACTGTCTGAGCCACCCAGGCACCCCAGTTTTCATGTATCTAAATGGCTAGGTTTCTGTGGGATAATTCCCTGGGTATACACAAAGCTAGATTTATTTCACAGTCATTTGACAAATTACTTAGAGCTATAATCTCTCTCTCTGGGGAAAAAAAACTACATTGATTAGAGGTTAGAGCTCCATTATTATTAACAATACTTTCTAATATGAGCTCATTATGTAGTAGCTCCTGGTGTCTGGCAGTGATACTCACTGTAATCCCTCTCTCATGATCCTCCTTAACCTTTCCCCTTGTACGTTATCCTGGCTAAATGTGAGCTCCTGCATTTCCCTTATGCTCCATGCATGTAAAATACACTGTTTGGGTTTTATATTGCTATTCATCCTTGTTAAATTGATGTTGACTGATCACTTCCCTGGTACTAGGCACTTTGACAAATAGTAATATAAGAAAATCCAGGCTCTCAGAACTCAACAATCTAGTAGGGGAGACAAGATATATAAGTAACAGACTAAGTAACGTGATCAGTATCATTCTTTGGCACTTTATTGTATCCATGGCTTATACTGTGAGAGTAATTCTATGGAGGAAAAGATTACTGGGGATAGGGGTGTGGTAATGGAAAGTTCTCTGGAAGGTTGATGTTTGATGTAGGTCTAAAAATGAAGTCTGCTTAAACAGAACAACAGGAAGAAAGGCAGGGGGTGGAAGACGGTCATGAAGAAAGAATACAGAATAAGGAAAGTTACTGGTGTTTGTGAAAGACAGGAGCAAGACGTGTTCTGGGAGGAATCAGATTTACCTGGATGGAGCAGGGGATCCGTGTGGGAAATAGAGATACAGGTAAATTAGTTTTTGATGTAGTGTTCCAAGATTCATTGTTTGGGCATAACACCCAGTGCTCCATGCAGAACATGCCCTCTTTAATACCCATCACCGGGCTAACCCATCCCCCCACCCCTCTCCCCTCTAGAACCCTCAGTTTGTTTCTCAGACTCCATTGTCTCTCATGGTTCCTCTCCCCCTCCAATTTACCCCCCTTCATTCTTCCCCTCTGCCACGGCCCGCGTGCAAGGTCGAACAGGGGTGAGGGTAAGAGAATGAAACATAAAAGTATGGGAACAGGAGGGTTGCCCACGGGGATGCCGCGAGCAACAACTTTATTCTTTCTCACACACTTTATATAGGCTTAGGTTATATAACAATAAGACATAAACAAGTTCCACAGGTTCCTCCCTGCCCTTCTCCTGGCTCCGTCCCGTGTTTCTAATTCAAGGCCAGATTCCTCAAGGGCATAGTTTCTTCCCAGTTTTGTTTACGCGTTATGCCTTTAAAGGGCCAGGTGCGCTATCTTTCAGGGTCTATCAGTAACACTGTGGTCTTCTTGGCCTATAAACAACTCAGGCTAGCCAGTACAACATGTTCTTGTATGGGGGCAGTTAGGTGGCCATGGTTCAAAGGGATCAGGGAGCCTTTGCTCTACCCGATTAACCCCTTTGTTGCTCATGGCTCCCGACACCCCTCCTGCTATCTTCTTCTTTTTTTTTTTCCCTTAACATATATTGCATTATTTGTTTCAGAGGTACAGATCTGTGATTCAACAGTCTTGCACAATTCACAGCGCTCACCATAACACATACCCTCCCCAATGTCTATCACCCAGCCACCCCATCCCTCCCACCCCCCACCACTCCAGCAACCCTCAGTTTGTTTCCTGAGATTAAGAATTCCTCATATCAGTGAGGTCATATGATACATGTCTTTCTCTGATTGACTTATTTCACTCAGCATAACACCCTCCAGTTCCATCCATGTCGTTGCAAAAGGCAAGATCTCATTCCTTTTGATGGCTGCATAAGATTCCATTGTGTATATATACCACTTCTTCTTTATCCATTCATCTGTCGATGGACATCTTGGCTCTTTCCACAGTTTGGCTATTGTGGACGTTGCTGCTCTACACATTGGGGTGCACATACCCCTTCGGGTCCCTACATTTGCATCTTTGGGGTAAATACCCAGTAGTGCGATTGCTGGATCATATGATAGCTCTATTTTCAACTGTTTGAGGAACCTCCATACTGCTTTCCAGAGTGGTTGCACCAGCTTGCATTCCCACCAACAGTGTAGGAGGGTTCCCCTTTCTCCGCATCCCCGCCAACATCTGTCGTTTCCTGACTTGTTAATTTTCACCATTCTGACTGGTGTGAGGTGGTATCTCATTGAGGTTTTGATTTCGATTTCCCTAATTCCGAGCGATGTTGAGCACTTTTTCATGTGTCTGTTGGCCATTTGGATGTCTTCTTTGGAAAAATGTCTGTTCATGTCTTCTGCCCATTTCTTGATTGGATCATTTGTTCTTTGGGTGTTGAG